ATCTGTCAGGATTCTCGAACCTCCAAGTACTCGACCTCTCGCACAACGATCTGAGAGTTTTGCCTTCTGGGATGGAGAACCTTGCGAAGCTCAAACATCTCGACCTCTCAAGTTGCAACATTTCAGGGAGCGTAGAACCCATCGCCAATCTTCGCTCGCTGCAGTACCTTGACATTTCCAACAAAGTCATCAACGGAAGCTTCCCATCTGATTTTCCTGCACTTAAGTTCTTGAACATCTTTGTAAACAACTTCACCGGAATGATCGGTGATGTAGCGCGATCTAGCTGCTTCCAGCTCGAGGTGATTTGGCTTCTAGACGGACGGCGGACTGAACTTGCAAGGATATCAGAGAACCCGGGGGTGCTAACCTAGCGAGGTCGCTCCGATGCTTAAGTCAGTAGAGAGCTTCAGAGCAGGAAAATCACGCGTAGCTTGCCCCCCGGGGGGTGGAGCCTTTATGGAGTCCTCGCGGGTTTCGCGGAGCAGTTCCGGGATCCTCGTCACGATGAGATCCATTTCCGCGATAACGGGAGATAGTGTTGCCAACTGATAGGGTTTATCGAGTCCACCCGAATTGGTCGGGGGAGATAATGCTGGCTGTTACGCGACATGATCCCATGAAGTCCAAGAACCGTCGGAGGGATTTTCGGGATCCCCACGGTGGCATGTCGGTATCCCCAAGCTAACGCCTTTAAGTCCCAAACTGGACTGAGTGTCGAAGTGCCTTGGCATCGCGATCTAGTACCGGGGCGATCTCATTTCGGGGTGACCTTGTCTCAAGGTCACTTTAACCCGGGGTAGATGGGTACCCGAGATCGTTCTCTGCGGGCTGGTCATGTTGAGCTGTCATCTAGTAGTCAGGCCACGTCCACGTGTCTCCCTGTTATGAGGTCGGGCCAAATCACCTTTCATCAATCGGCTTAGACATATTGAAGAAATTCGGTAAGTCTGCGTTCATTCAAGCCTTGAAGATTAATACTTCAAAAACTTCAAAACTCCCAATGATTGGCCTCTTGGGCGAAGCCAAAAGGGTCGATGGAAATCAACCTGTGGTTCCTGAGGGAGAAAAGAAGCCAAGGAGGGGTATTCCCAAATAGTTATTACAAGGGTAGTATGGGAATTAAAAAATACTGGAATGACAGACTTTTCATTTTTTGGACAGAAGACTAACGGAAGGGGGTCTTTGTCTCATGGTCATAGTACAGGGAGGTCTTTATCGCAAAACAAAGTACATGGGGGGTCTTTGTCACAGACCCCATAGAATAGGAGGGGTCTTTGTAATTTACCCTTATAATAATCTCTCTTGGACTTTTTGGCATAGTTATAAATATATTCTCTTTATTAGAATTAAAAAAAGGCATAAAAATGTTCAAAATGCCCATGCAATTATTTCTGAAATTGATTTATTTTTTAAATTTGTCCTTACATCAATCGCTCAAAGTTAAAGCTACAATTTTAAAATTCTCTTTTTTTTTTTCTATTGTTCATAAAGGTTTTTTTTTTTTTTGTATAAACCAACCTCAATAGTAACACATGGGTATTTTGGGCATTTCTATGCTCCTTTTTATGCGATTATAACAAAGGGGGTCTACTTACAAATGTGCCAAAAAGTTCGAGGGATGCAATTGTATTTACTAAACCTCATGGGAGGTTTTAGCAATGGTCCAAAACTTCGGAAGAGGTTTTAGCAATTTACCCTAACTTTTAACTATGGTTCAAGAATCAAAATAGGCATTTCAGTGATCTATAGGAATGATAGCAACAATGGATTGATACTTTGAACCTTGCTTGTGATCAATTATGGTTTTTGGATTTCACTTTTCTTGAACTTAGGAAATTTTTGTTATTCATTAAGGGTGAACAAGTGGGTCGATTCTACCTAGAACTGAATTAAACCGACCTTAAATTGGCTTTGGTTATATTGGTTCCAATTGGTTCTTGCGTAGGGTTTGGTTCCAAAATCATGTAATTGATCCCATTGAGGCAAATTCTAAAGTTTGATGATTTGTCCTACCCAAACCAACCTAAAGAAATTGGTCTTGACGGATTCGTCCTTAATGCATAAGCTTGAAAGATAAATTATGTATTAATTATATTGTATTATTTGGGTTGTTTGCAAATTGTATTTTACTTGCACTGAGATTGTATTCAATTAAATTGTGGTGTGTGTGTGAAGTTGGACTTTGTTTTATTAAACTATGCAAAGTTGTATTATGGATTAATAATGATCATGCGATATTAGTTAGGTTATTTGTGAATTTTGTTTTATCTAAGAATCAAAATTTTGTTACATATCTGCCTGTATTGGAGCCTTCCCAATATGCCCCTACAGGGGTGTTTCGGGTCGGAAGTGGTTCAGATAGAGATGGTAGACCGATCCAGTTAAACCAGTTTTGAAATGTGGATTAACTTTGGTTTTATCTTCATTTGGATTAACTTTGGTTTTATCTTCATTTGGACTAACTAATATCGATATTTTGAACCTTGGTTTTATCTTCATTTGGATTAACTTTGAAATGTGGAAATCAAGTCGATCCATGCTCAACCATATTATTTATAAAGGATGTGATTTATTTTAAGTGTTTACTTTTTATTTTAAAACCTATTTTCACACTTCTTTTAACAGGTTGAGTGGTTGTGAGATTAAACCGTTTGGTCAAATAGCCAACATGTGATTCTAGGAATTGCTCATGACGTCATGTTCCCATATTCATCATACTAGACCAAAAAAGTGTTATATATAGGAATCATTCTTTTCAGTAATAATATTATCTAAAAAATATAAATTCTGGAAAGATTAATATTTAACATGTGGCCCTTCGATTCGGAGATTGAATCGGTTAAGGGTCTGGTTACCAGGTCAAATGGTTAATCGCCCAGGTTAGTGATTTGCTGACCAAAATCAACAATTTTGGAAAAATTTCTGGTTTTGGAGAAAATCGAAATCGGTTACCTAATCGGTTTCTATTTTTTCGGTCCGGTTTTAAAAACTATGACGATACCAAAAAAAAAAGCTTTTACCAATCAAAACCCTGTGAATTTTTATGAATAGTCATTTAAGTGGTTACTCCCCCCCCCCCCCCCCAAAAAAAAAAAAAAAAGAAAAAAAAGAAAAAAAAAACTTTGGCTATGTTTGGTTGTAGTGCAGTTTTATTTGCACTAGTACAAAGACATAGGAGGTGCAAATGAAAAGAATGCAAATTTTGGTTTAATTTTGTTTTGAGTTTTATTTTATTCTGTTTTAGGTCTTACTTTGCTTCATTTGCATTTCAATCAAACAAAATAAGGTATATTTTAAAACAAAAATAAATCAGATTTTGCACCAAAATCATTTGCACTATCATAATTTTGCATCACTTCAAATAGATTTACACTACAACCAAACACAACATTTATTTCAATAGAATATTGTGTCAACCAGTCCTATTTATATTCAACTAGGGGCATCAAATAGCCTTTCTAATGATCGTTTCAAAGAACTTCACCTAAGTTGAAGTGTTTTTCCCATTTAATTTTTAGTTTTATAGATTTTATAAGGGACATTATCTAAAACTCACCATGACTTTTCAAAACCTCGAGAGAGTCCCCTATTAGTAAGTTTTATTGTCCAAAACTCATCTTCCACATCAGCATTTAAATATTTTATATGACAAATCTACCCCTGAATGATTGGCCAACCTTATTAAATATTTTTTATAACAATAATACCCTTAGCTATTGTGGGCCTAGTGTAGGTCCAGGCTCGAGTTAGGGATAATATTAAGGGGTAGTTTGGTCATGTAAAACACTAAAATGTTAATGTGGACACTTTTTTTTAATAATCACTAATGATGAAACTCTTAATGGAATATGAATTTTAAACAATAAAACTCACTAACAGGGAGCTCTCTAGAAGCACTGAAAAGTCTTTTTTGTGAATTTAAGAGAAATATAAAAAGTCACAGTGAATTGTAGATAATATCCAATTTTATAAATTTAAAATATATATTAATTTTATTGCTATCTGTCAACCTTATTTTTATTTAATTATTCATTATCTTGATGGATCTTGATTTTTTTTTTATTTATTTTTTTCTTTTCCTTTGCATTAGTTTCCAAGGTCTTGTTGTTTTCACTTACGTGGGCAAGTGGTTCTTGAGCAAAAGTTACCCGAGTAACTTTGGTGCCACCGTTCTTCTATGTATTCACTTACCTGTGTAAAGAAAACAGGCAGGAGGGAATTAGCTGGGCAAATAAGCAACTTATTACTTACCTCTTTAGGATAAGGTAACTAATACTATTCGGAAAATTCATTTAGGTTGTGTTTGGTTTAAAGGAAATAATAGGGAAAAGAAGGGAAACCTTTACAAACCTTGTATGAATTTCCTTGCCTTTCCCTTTTTTTTCCTACCTTTTTCTTTAAACCAAACATAACCTTAATAATAAGAATGCGGAAAATTTGGTCTATTACTCGGTTGACCAATTTACCGCCGATACCAATAAATGAACAAGACCTAAAGAGTTAAACTGGATTCATAATAACAGAAAGAAAAAAAATACACAAACATATTTGAACTTTTAGCCCGGTTTAGAGTACTCTTCCCAAACTAAGCCTTTTATTCCTAATTGATGAAATAGTGAAGTGACACAAAAAGGGGTTTGTAGTAGATGTAAGACTTGTACTCTTATATGCAAACAATTTCCTGCAGTACCCTTCATTGTCATAGGTTTTTTTTTTCTTTTTTTTTTTTTTTTGCTGCTGCGTTGGCTTTTAAATTACAGTATAGCTTACCTTATTTCCCAAAAAGAAAAAGGAAGGAGATGGTTGGACCGTTGAATGCATGGCTCGGCCGGATCAACGTCCAGTTAGGTTTTAACGGTACCGATATTTTTTTACACATCACGTGGCGCCGTGGCGGCATTGGTTTTCATCCAAGGGCGGGCCAGTGGGCAATAGATAGACTCATTCACTCATAGATGATGTTTTTGATAATTTCGCGGGAACTCGGGCAAGAAGGATAGAAGGCAGATAGCGCAGATATGACTCTACATATATCAGTCAGAGGTGGAATTTTGTTCCAATTTTGGGGAAAGTCAAAAGGTGAAAATTAACATCTAACATATTGGGGAAGAAAAAAAAAGGAAAAACAAACGAACACGATTCTACTTGCAATAGGAGGAAAAATCTAAAAGAAACGGTGCATTTGTACTCTGCTTTATTAAGATTCCACAAAGATTTTATCGTTAAACGCCATACTACACTACACCCCGAAGAAAGAGATCAGCGATGGCTTGCACGACTGTATTCCGCGGCGTTTGCTTGTCAGAACCATGGCGCCCTTTTCATCAAAATCGCGCCTCCGCTTCTTCTTCATCGCTTGCGCCCGCGTGGGTACCTGTAAAACCAAGGTCATGTAGCGGAGTTAGGGCTGGCGTTCGAGATTTTCACTGCAGACGAACAGGTCCTTTGAATTGTTCTAATGGGGAAATGCCTTCTTCCTCTTCTCAAGACGACCAGGGTCCCCCTCAAGAAGCCGTCCTCAAAGCTATTTCAGGTGATAATTTTTTCAGTCTTTCCTTATATAATTGGTTTGTGGATTTATACGTGGGATCTGCTGTAGGAATTCATTCTCAGATCAGGAAAGGTTCATGGTTTTCTTAGTTTGGTGCCATTTTTCGTATCGTGTTTCGTTGACCTTTAAGAATTCTAAATGAAACAGAACACAAACTAGAAAGAATACCAATGATAAGGTTAAGGGAGATAAACAGAATAAAATACTGATTGCGATGGTCTTCCCACTTTTTTCATGATAACTCAAATAATACCAATTGAGATGGTACCAATACATCTTAAGTGGAACAACTTAAAATATGTTTTGGGTTTTCATTTGGAAGCTCAGATGAAATCCTAAACTCTTTTGAAAGTTTGGAAGCTTTGTTTCAACTTATTATTTCGAAATTGGGTATTTTTTGGTTCGTCGATACAGAAATAAATTGTGTGTGTGTGTGTGTGTGTTTTTTTTTTTTTAATTTGCTCTTACTTTTGAAATTGGATTCAGAAGTGTCAAAGACGGAAGGAAGGGTTGGACAAACAACAAATGTTGTTATTGGAGGTACAGTGACAGATGACTCAACTAACGAATGGCTTACTCTGGATCAGAAGGTAAAACCTTAGTATTTATCTATTTCATTTTTCATGCTTGCTATATAGTTTATGCCCGCTAGCTCCAAGTCTTTAGATATAAAATGTCTTTTTTTTTGTCTGTGTAATGAAAAACAGTGCATCTCAATATGCTTTCATGGTAAACCGTAAACATAGATCAGCAGGGGAATGCAATCTAAAACAGCTGAAATTCATTCAGGCTTTGGTGGTATACTTGTTCCAGCTTGAATTGTGTACCTTTAACTGGGAAATAGCTGCTGTCTTCATTAAATTACACATTTATGGAATGATAGTGATGGAGACTAAGAAAAAAAGTTTATATTTGATGACCACATAATAATATATTTTATAGTTCAGGAAAATTTCCATAAAGCAAAAGGTAGGACCATAGCTTGGCATTCATCACATGTAGAGACCAGAATTTTTTTTTTTTTTGGGTATTTTGTAGAGACCGGAATTAGTGTTTTGACTTGTGCATTCTTTTGTTTCAATGTTGAAGATGTGTTAATCTAATATATTTCCATTATTGACTTCATAGGTAAACTCATATCCAACAGTTAGAGGGTTTACTGCAATTGGGACAGGAGGTGATGATTTTGTGCAAGCCATGGTTGTTGCTGTTGAATCAGTACTTCAACATCCAATCCCAGAGGTACATATATTTGGTTGTTACTGCAAAATTATAACTTGGTGAGGAAGTTTATCATTCATGAATTGGTAATTTTGATAAGGGGTGGCATTTTCATCAAGCTAAGCTTGTGGTCTATTTCTTAATATTATCACAGCTTAGTTGAGTTTTAATAAGCATGTTTGCACTACTGTAACGGTCACACCATCCGGCGACGCACCGCGGCGCAGTCATAGGCAGCAGCACGCACAGCAGCAGGCACCGCCTGGCAGCGCCGCACGGCAGCACGCACCGTGCACACACCCAGCACCGCACGACAGCAGCACCATGGCGCGCAGCACGCAC